ATGCATTTGGGAGGGGCAAGACAGGAAGAGAGAGAATTCAAAATAAATACGTTCGGGAGAACTTAGGTGTGACACCAATAGGCAATAAGATAAGAAAAAGTAGACTTAGGTAAACTAGTCATCTCCAGCGTAGACTCAATACAACACATGTTAGGTGATGTGAGTTAGTTCCAGTGGGCAGCTCAAAAAAGGCAAAGGGTAATCCAAAAAAGATATGGTTAGAAGTAATGAGAAAATATATGGAGACTTATGGGCTCACTGAGGGTATAACCTCTAATAGAGCAAAATGACATACTAAGATTCGTATAACCGACACCATAAAAATATTAAAAAAAAGCTTTGATGACGATGATGATGATTTCATAACTTCATATGTCTAAGATTCGAAGTTAGGCCCCATAACCCTTTTTGCCCAAATCTTCTTTTTATTCCCCGATTGCAATCGTTTTATATCTTCAAGATTTGAAATCACGATTTCAGATCTTGAATATCCTGATTTCTAGAAAAACGGGGGCCTAGCTTTGCATATTCACGATGTAAAATAGCTTAGTCAACTTGAGAAATAAAAATAAATAAATAAATAAATAAAGAGGAAATAAGGGTGCACGCGTACATTAGAAAAATTAGAGGGATTTTTTAAATAACTGTTATAATTATGATGGATATATACGCAAGTTTCTCTTCTTCTTCTTCTTTCTTTTTTTTTTTTTTGTTTCTTTCTGTCAAGGGTAGTGAACTTGGACAAACTATTTCTAAATCTCTCTACGAGATATTTAATTGGAAAGTGGCCTTTTATGTTTGTTGGGAGAAAGTCAACTTGATCCACTTGCTCTTTCGCACCCTCCAGTTTGAATTTATCAACTGTCTCACTGTCAATTGTTAGTGCATGTATTAGATTTTCCTTGAAGGCCCCAGCATGCGGCAAGAAACTTAATAGATTAAACATCCCATTAAATGATGGGCCCTTATTTTGAGAGCATACATGTATATCTTGTACATGTACATCAATCACCATCCATCATGCATGATACATCGCTACAAGAGATGGTTAGCTAAGATTAGATGTCCATGAGGCATAATTGATTGTTAAGATGCGTGTGATCATATTACATAGTTCATTGTTTAAAAAATGGGAATTGGGGACCCACCTCTCTAGGGTTTGATTAAGAGTACCCACCCTACACGATTCCCGATCCAGATTGGATTGTATTTGAAAAAAGCTAAAAATTGGAAACTTGGGGTGATTTCGAGTTCTTGAAACTAGAATCGCCTGACAATCCAAGCTGACTTATGTGTTGAACATGAGATCTCTCGTTGAGATCCCCTAATCCAAGATCGAGTCGGATGGGTCTCAGAATTCCAGGATGTCCTAAAATTAAAATTCATATACGATCAACTATTTTTCAATCACTGATCAACATATGCATATGGAATGTTTCCATGCCCTCAAGCCTTGTGAGCCAATTGCAAAAATGACATCACCAAGTCCCAATCAAAAGCTTATTTAGGCACTCATAAGTTCAGAACTCCCCTTCAATGAATAACAATGGAAGCCTTTTAAACAAATTCTATGCATGCTTCCAACGCTGGTTTCATGAACGTATGATATGGACAGATAGAGTTATCAAGAGACTGTTATCCCGGTATAAGCTTTATGTTATAGGAAAGCTTTCTATACTTCTCCTACATAGAAGTTCTATCTTTCGTCTACCATCCAGCCGTCCAATTTTGATCAAGAGAGCCACTCACCGTTTGATCTTAGATGCGATGTCTCAAAGTATTTTATTTTTAATTTTTTTAATACAAATTTTCTGAATATGAAATTTTGTACATGCCATCTTCTCATTGAGGTGCACCTATAAAAAATATTAATAATAATATTTTATAAAAACATAATGAACAAAATACCCCTTGAAATTTTCAGGGGTATTTTGGTCATTTTATTTTATTGAAAATATTTTTTTTTATATTTTTCGTTAATGCGATTTTAATAGAAGAATAGACGTCCAAAATTTGGTATCAAAATAGTTTACAAAAAAAAAATTAAAAATAAAATAGTGTAAAGACGTAACATTGTGATTGGCGCAATCTTAACCTTCCATTCAAAATGGAGGATTGGATAAGGTGGAGGATAGAACTTCTATGCTTTAGGGGAAGCATAAAAAACTTGCCCATACGTTTTATTGTTTTCTTTTACTTTTTGTCGGTAAGTTAATTGCTTTGCATGGAGATGGACAATGAACCTTTAGTTCCCACTAGCTGCATCTAGCAAACTATACTATCCCTACACTCATTTTCATTAGAGAGAGAGAGAACTGCCCTTCCATTCATTTTCATTAGAGAAAAAATACTTAGCAAAAATGGATATAAAACCCATTTTCTCATAAATATTCTATTTTCTAAATATATTTTAAATTAGGCTGATCTTCAAAATAACTTTTTTTTTTTAAGAAAATGAAATACGAAAATCATTATCATGTAAGCCTTATTCTAATGA